TTGGTAATATCCAAACGTACTTTTTTCTTTTTGTTGCTTATAGTGAATCGATAGACGTTGGATTTTGGACTCGTATTCTTCGACCCTGTAGACGCCACAATATTCATATTGAAGTTTTATAGCGAATTTGGACTTAGATTGACGTACGTACTTGTAGTTAGCTGTATAATTTTTCCATGCATACACAGTTACATATCGTAAGGCCCTTACATTGTTCGATGTTCGTTAAAAATCGACTCCGATCGGTTACTATGTCATAATGTAAAGGTCTTCCAGCTATTACTGATCAACTTCAAATTATATTTTTAATTTATTTACATTCATACGGTGGAATAATACTACCTATGTTCTGGTCACTTGTTTCGGTTGGGGGCCCAAGGGCCCCCGTCATGATTAATCCGGTGCTGCGGAGAAAGCAGGTATTGAACTCATTTCCTGTAAATGCACCAAGTCTGAAGTATGGTGGTTATAGCTGTAAGATTTAGTGACTTGAGGATGCATTTTGAAAATGACAATGATCGAAGCGTGCTGATATTGATGCCAACGTTTGTTAGTGTCAAGAACCAGTGTCCCGAGTTCATTAGATCATTCGGAGCAGAACAGTTGGGCGTTAAACCCCCATTTCATTTCATTGTCAAGAACTATTGATTCGAAATGGTTCATTTGAAAATGATTCATAAAGGGCGGGGATCGACATGATCATTTGTAAAAAAAAATCAACTTACGAAGTATGTCCATATATATTTAGAAATGAAATGACATGAAATGGGGTTTTACGTCCTACTGTTCTGTCCCTAATGAAGACGGGTATACGCTATACAGTGTCTTATGGTGGAAATCTTGCCCGGTTTTTCAGTCAAGAGTCATAAATGTCTAGAGCAAACCTACTCATATATCGAATTACAATTGCCAAGGAATCTTTTTTTATGTCCAGGCCAATGCATAATTGGATCTCGGTTTTACGTCCAATCCGAGCGAATATACTTTGTCCCTTGTCAGACCATCTGTCCAGCACCACTGACAAGTGAGAACCACGCCGAAAATTCTCGGTCAAGGCTGGGATCGAACACGGGAATTCCTGGTTTGCGAGCCAACGTATTACTTACTGAGTCACGTTGGCTCCCTATATATTAGGCCATATAATATAAGTGAATTTGAACAGTGTATGGAGTCGGAAATACTCACCGAGCGCAATAGACATATTTTTGCTTCTGATATTTATAGTTGTAATCTACAAATGAATGCATAAAATCCGGTGACCCTCTTGAGATCCAATATGACGACTGTTGTAAGTTAATTACAGTAAGCGTTAAAATTTTGATTCTGGCATTAATAGTTTTTTTTAGATACAAAGGTATTTCTAAAACTTGGAAACCTCCATAATTTTCCTTCATATTGAAAATATGGGCATACTCCTGTCCGCAATGCAGTAGAGATGGAGAATTGAACAAAAATAGGTTATTTTGGTGACTATTGTGAAATTCATGAATAATGCGGCAACCAGTGTGCTTCATGTTTTGGGTCCATTTCTTTTTTTAAGTAGGCATATAGTACCCTCTGCATAATTTCATGCTTTACTCAAGAAGTGAACATTTTTATGCTTAGTCGCTCTACTATCAGAATATTATTATAATAGGCCAATTGGTCCATATAGCAATATTCATAAGGCGACAACCCGACATTTTAACCCGACACCACGACAACCTGACATCACGACATTTTAACCCGACAATACAACATTTTTACTCGACACCAGGACATTAAAAATGTCGGGTTAAGATGTCGTGACGTTTGGGTTGTCGTGATGTCGGGTGTCGTGGTGTCGGGTTATCGGCCATATTTCTCTCAATACTATGATTATGTACACTGATCCTGGTGTTGGTCAAGAAAAGTCTTCGGGATTTTGCAACGTGGTTTCTCCGTGTCGGTAGTGCTTGACAAAGAACTGAGTACTCATTGCCGTGCACATAAAAGAATCCTTCACAGTTGAAATTCGACGAAGAAATGCAACGGTCCATTGACAATTTCCGTCATATCTGATTGGTGCATGTCATAATGTCGCCTAAAAATGTCGTATTGTTTGGTTAAAATGTCGCGATGTCGGGTAGTCTTGGTGTCGGCTGGAAGGCGATACCACGATATCACAACATGATACCAATCAGCCACCATAATTGTCAATGGTTATGATCGAAACATATAAACTAAAGGAATAATTTGGATTATAAGGCCTGTGTGATTCCCCCCCACCCTCCCCTTAACATTGTGAGTTTTATCCTTTAACTCAATTATCCTTTCTTCTCGCACCCGGAGACAATTAATTCTATGTGATTTAAAGAAACTATTTTATTTAGCTTTATTAGAAACTTCTTCGGTGTTTTAAACGTGATTTCGTGGAAATTAAAATAAGTTCCAGTAGTGTATAATGTGTAATTAAAAGAGAACGTGTAGCTATACTGGATAATAACTTATGTAATAGATAGTATATGCGGCTTGAAGTTCCAGGTATGTTTAACGAGTTTCTGTGCCACAGTGGCATTATTTTCAAAGCAGTTTCCAAATGTAGGGGCTCTAGTTTATGTATATTATTATGTCGTCTAAGTTTGATCGCGTTGTTTGAAACCGTAGCTTGGGCAAACTCTTTTTAGTAAATTTTAAGAAATTCAAATTAGAGGAACCGTAGGGACATTTTGTTTACTTATCTTGGAGATTCGTAGAAGATCAATTATAGCAATTAATGGAGATGGGGAGAAAGTTATGTACAGAGAGTTCACAGAAGAATATTATTGTGATTCAGTGTCAGTTTAGTTCATTACTTATGATTTATTTGATTAAGCTGATGACTTAGAGATATAACATTCTATGGGAAGATTTGGATCCGGAGTCAATATATATAGTATTTAGTCAGCTAGTCTAAAATGAAGGTGTTAAATTATTTACTGCGTTATTATTTATCGTTGATATCAGATAATAGAAAATTTCGAATCTGAGATAATTAAAATTTCCAAGTATGGATTTTGTGTTTTGCTTTTAAATTTTTTGACGTCGATTAGAGTGAAATAAGGTCGATATTCAGAGTTGTAATTTTAAAAGTAAGTTTATTTAAGTTATGAATATTCAAAGTGAATAGAAAATATATTTACAAACGTTGTCATAATCTACCGTGAGGTATTAAATTACGTAACATGTAATAAGACATTAATGAATTGATAGGCTATTTATAGTAATATGTATGTTTTAACAGGTCAAAATATAATTGTATTAATTGTAATGATGAACTTATCAATAATGGTGTAATATACACAAAACAATAATATATATAATAATATATAAATGTTTCTATAGTACCTAATATTTTATATCATAAATATCTATGTGAACTCATCTAACAATGAGTAAAGGAATCGGTTTTAACGTCTCGTTAACACAGTATTTGGTCATTCATTTTATATTATAAATAACGATGTATGAGTAAAGGAATGGGGTTTAACGTATTTGGTTATTTTGAGCTTCATATAGGATATGACATTTACTACAGTCACGTGCGCATGGCTTGGGGGTGGGTGAGGATATTATTTTATTAACCGAACAGCAGGGTTTCTTCTATACTTTTATTCTAATTCCAAATGTTACAAGATAATTAACGTGCACGTCGTTGTCCACATGTGGACTAAATAATGCTGGTCTATTGAACAAATACAACAAAAAAATAAATAAAAAGTTTTCTGTATTTGATTAATCGTCGTCCATCATATTAAGCCATTTGTTCTTTCTTTCCAACACCTTAAATTAGATATATGGTAAATTTAAAGTTCCTATTGATTTCACGATGTCATTATCTAACCTATAATTTTAAATTACTAGTACTATTGTTCTCTTGAATTTGGTTTTACCGGCATTCTGTCATATAAAAAGTTTAATAATTACAAATCAGTATCAATATTTATAGATTTTAACATACAGGGTGTCATACGTGTAGCACCTGTTGTAATTTGGAAGATTTTCGATATAAAATACAATATCTTCAATATATTTCAAGGAAATTCTTTTAATGAATATGCGTATTTTTTTTTAAAATAAGCATTGGTATTTTGTAATAATCTTAATTAAATGTGTGTGAAATATGTTTCATCAAAGAATCAGTATTTTGTAAAAATCTATGAAGTGTCGAATGTGGACCTATTCAGATTGATAATGTCCCATTATTGTACGAACCACCGGGTATAATTTGGAGGATTTTGTTATAAAATACGATATTTTCAACATGTTTTATGGGAATTATTTAATGATTGTACATATCCATATTTTGTAACAATCAACAAAATGTCGAATGGAGGGCATATTCAGATTGACAGTATCCAAGTATTGTACGAACCACTAGGGTTTAACAAACAGAGTCTGGTACTGGTAGCACCTGTTGTAATTTGCGAAGGTTTGATATAAAATACGATATTTTCAACATATTTAAAGGAAATTCTTTTAATGAATGTGCGTAAAATATGTTTTAAATAAGCATTTGTACTTTGTATAACAGTCTACGAAGTGTCGAATGTGGTCCTATTCAGATTGATAATGTCCCAGTATTGTACGAACTACTCTGGGTAAATTTCAAGTAAAATCTCTTTAAAGGAATTGTTTATTTCTTACAATGTTTGTGTTTGTCCTGTCTGCAGGTTTATCTTATCGATTTTGTTTTGCGGTAGTGCGATCGTCCTGCATTAACTATTAAATGTTGATAATATATGTTTACATCGCATTTGTATAATGGTAATAATACACATATTAATATATAAATGTTTCTATAGTAACTATTATAATATTTTATATCATAAATGTGAACTCCCCCAACTATGATTTAAAGAACGGAGGTTAAACGTGCCGTCAACGTATTTGAACCCATATACGATATGGAATTTATTACAGTTACGTCCGCAATGGTAATGATAATGATGATATGGTAATGATGATATTATTAATGACGGTAGATATAAAACATAACTTACCTCTCAATCGCCCTGTAAAACACACAAAACAATAATACAGATATTAATATATAAATGTTTCTATAGTAACTAATATAATATTTTATATCATAAACTCCTCTAACTATGATTTAAAGAATGGGGGTTTAACGTTTTATCAACACAGTATTTGCTCATTTTGAATCCATATACGATATGGAATTTATTACAGTTACGTCCGCAATGCTTATCGGCGTAGGAGTATTCATCGAACAGCAGCGTTCCTTGTGTACTCTTATTCCAATTCCAAGGGTGATCACGCTGGCTAAGTGGGTAAGACGCTGGCTCGCTAGCCTGGAGGTCGGGTGTTCAATCCCTGCATGGGCCGAGAAAGTTCATCCAGATTTTCCGGCGTGTTTCCCCCTTGTCAGTGATGCGGGACGGAGGGCCTGACAAGGACAGCTGTCTAGTCGTTTGGATGGGACGAAACACCGAGGTCCCGTGTACACATTGGCCTGCACGGAAAAGATCCCTTGGCAGTTGGAATTCGATATAAGAGAAAGCCGTAGTGCCGCTGTCCGGGCAAAATTGTATGGCGTATGCCCGACATCATTAGCCCAGTTCGGAGCAGAACACTAGGACGTTAAACCCATTTCATTTCATTTCATTTCGAATTCCAAGTGTCAACAGTTCTTTGCGTGCTCCTCGTTGAATACATGTTGACTAAACACAAGAAATGAATACATTATTATATATTATTCTGTATTTGATTAATCGTCATCCACCCAAGTACATAAAGGTTAAATGTATCGTTTCTATTAATTTTACGATGTCATTATGTAACCTACAATTTTAGATTGCCAATACTATTTTTTATCTTCAGTTCAATAATTACAAACCGGTATCAATATCTTAGGTGTAATTATTTTCCACAACAGATTACTAGTGTAAAGATTTATTTTACAGTTCATTAATTAAAAATGAGTATCAATTTATATTTAGTACCCAAATGGTAATAATTATAGTTGAATGCCTTATGCATGAAAGGCAAATCTAAAAAGTCATAAATATTTATTAAGAATTTCAATTCAATTTCCGGAATTTAACTAATAGGCGAGACATGGAATTTCAAATATTATTTTGAACTGGCAATTTTCTATTTTATTTCATTGGTAAGGCATAAACTTTTCAATCGTATACAGTTACATTGCACTTGGTTATGCATTTTTATCGCTTGTGAAACAACTTTTATATTCTACTCAGCGGTATCTACAGTAAAGATGTCGCTTTACATGAATTTGATTTATACCAAAGGAATTATGGTGCGTGTAAAAGGGTTGGGTGATAAATAAAATCTCCTACTCAGCTTTTTGAAATCAATACACGTTGATAAACTGACAATAACCCCGTCTATCCTCATTCTTTTTTTACATTATCGATATTTTTTTATATCAAAATAGACTCGTAGGAGATTCTCTATATGCCAGACTGTTTGTGACAGAGAAAGAGAGAGAGGGGTGAGAGGGTAACGTCTCGTGGAAGGAAACGTGAGTTGAGGACTCTGAGAAAGCCCACGTGTTTGGGCCGGCGATAGACGTACTAAATGACAGACCTTGATCTAACCAGCACCCGTTAAACCAGTAGACCCCCCCCCCCTGCTTTGGAAACCAAATGCATATTTTCAGTGACTTTTAAAATTCATACTAAAGTTCGGGGTTTTCACATATATCTGTGTTAATAGCAGCAATTTGATCCTGTTCTAGATGTTAGAATTGAATTCCTAGACAAAACTATTGTATTCCTAGAGCTTTAAAATTCATGTTTAAACACCAAGATTGCGATTCTAACTAATTCCAAATTGAGATATAAATATACTAATTCGGTTTTCGTATTAACTTTTTCATTTTTATGTACCCGACACATTACTAGATGGTATAAATGTATTCCTGGAATCCTAGGTGGTTTAGAAGGCGAGAATACTATCAAAAGGAGCAAGTTGGTCCATATAGCAACATTGGTAAAGTATTTCTGTCGATAAATTAATTTTCAGCAGTAAGTAAAAATTAGAATATATTATATAGCGGTTTAAAGTGGGGTAATCATTTCCGATAGTAACTGAAAAATCCAAAAATGTTCCACATGTGTTTTAACGATTAAAATGTTTCTCTTGGGAACTAATGTCTCATCCATATTTAAATACAATGCTATAAATAAACCGTAGCTATATCGTATTGATAAAAATGTGTTAACTTTTCAAAGTTATTGACTTTTTAAAGTCCCGATTCTAAAATATCAAATTTATCTCGACTTATTCCACCGCTAATATGTGATGGATAATGGCCGAAGACTGTCCATTATGTAAATACAAAACAACTGAGGGGCGTAAGCCCCGATGTTTTTCTTTGTATTTACATAATGGACAGTCTGAGGCTATTATCAAACTTAAAACATAGCACCATAGAGATACAAATAATGGATAGTTTTCTAAAAGAACAAGCCATAAAATAATGGATATATTCTTGAAACAACATGCACATGCCCATGAATGCATGTGACAAAACACTCCAAACACAATCGAAAACAAATATTAATAATGTGAATATATGTGATAAGCATTTGGATACTGATTACATTTGGTAATGTATTCGATAAGATAATAGCCGTAAAAATTGTGATATATGTGATAAGCATATGGATACTGATTACATTTGGTAATGTACCCGATATGGAAAATAATAGCCGTAAAAATTGTGATGTTCTTGATATGTTGTGATGGAAAGGCTGCTGACGAAAATGATTTAGATATTGATAATATTCTTAGTACTGTGGTTAATATGGAGGGTATTAGCCTTCTAAATTTTGATTTGAAATTTAATATATACTCTGATATAAGTGACAGGACACAGGATCAAAGGCACAAACCAATTCACGAAATTCGAACTCAACTGTCATTATTGTGTAACAGCGATATATTTGACCTGTATAGGTTCCACACGCTGAAAACACGTTTTTTTATTCAATCAGGGCCATAATCCCAGAAGTTTCGGTCCGATATGCGCCAATATCGCAAGAAATCGAGATCTTCGGGTTGTGAACACACATGTTCAGTTTCATCAAAATGGGCTAATAATTGTGACCTCTAGTGTGTACAGTCAGAGGCCATAATCCATGAAGTTGTGGTCCCATACAAGTCAATATCGAAAGGAACCGAGATCTTTGGGATATATACCTATATTTCAAGTTATGACCTGTAGAGTGTCCACCGTGAAAATGTGGGAGTATAAAAACGTATCATCGATCTAGTGCCGAACGTACTATTAAACGGACAAGTGACATATAACGGACGGATTTAAGTGGAATTCTTTATGTAGAAAAACACGTTAAATCAACATTCTGTCATGTGACATTTCGGTAACAATGAGGTTATAAAGTAATTTCATGTACTGTAATTTAATTTGTTCAGAGAATAAATTATCCCAAAATACATGTTCATTTTTCAGATAAGTGTCTATTATTGGTAGACCTGTCCATTATTTTCAATAAATAATGGACAGTTTTATAAATAATAGACGATTGTTTAAGAAAAGCGTACATTCTCCTATATACTGGTTAAAAACATCAAAGGGTGACGTCATATCTATGTTTTAAGTACTCATATTGGTTATTGAATTCATTAAGAAAACAACATCAAAACACCAATGCTAGATAATGTCCCGCCTTGGATTCAATCGGATTTTTAAAAAAGGTCTCTCATAAATTTTCTTGGGACAACAAAATAGCAAGCAGGCCAAATCTATGAAATTTCAATATTATTTTTGTTATTACTGAATTGAATTGAACCAATTTTGGACTGTTACTCCTATTAGAGATCCATTAGGCATTCAGCGACGTGAAGTTAGCTAGTACTTCGTGTTTTTGGAAATAGATTCTAACAAGCTGTTTTTCTAATGAAGATGGAAAGAAAGCCACGAAAGTGTATAGAAAGTTCAAAGAAGAATACCATTGTAATGCTTGTGGTTGGGGTAGGGGGAACAGATATTAATACTATAATATTGTATATCACGCACAAAACAATAATATAGATAATATATAAATATATCATATTATATAGATAATAATAATAATATAAAAGTTTCTATATTAACTATTATAATATTTTATGTCATAGATACCCATGTGACCTGCGCTATGAGTAAAGGAATGGGTTTTAACGTCTCGTTTACGCAGTATGCTGGTCCTTTTGAGCCTTGTATGACATTAACTATCATCACGTGGGTGGGTATGTTCACCGAATAGAAGCGTTTCTTCTATACTATTATTCAAATGTCATGTGTGACGAGTTATTTTACGTGTCTATTGACAAAATAAAAGAAGGAAATACATATATATTATTCTGTATTTGATTAATCATCATTCATCATTGATTTCACGATGTCATTATCTAACCTAAAATATTAAATTACTACTACTATTGCTCTTTACAATTTTTCTTTCACCTGCATTCTGTCATATTATCAGTTTAATAATTACAAATCAGTATCAATATTTTAGGTTTAAATATTTTCCACAACACACTAAATTTTAACATACAGGGTCTCGTACGTGTAGCTCCTGGTGTAATAAGGGTGATTTTTATATAAAATGTGATATTTTCAGATTTTTCAAGGAAATTTTTCATTGAATGTACGTAGAATATAAGCATCCATATTTTGTAGGAATCAAAGGAATGACGAATGTGGGCCTATTCAGATTGACAATGTCCAGTATTGTATGAAACATTGTGTGTAAATTTCAAATAAACTCTTTCTAAAGGGAGTATTTATTTCTTAATTCTTAAAAGGATTTGTTTACATCGCATGTGTATAATTGAAATGATATCATTAATGGTGGATATAAAAATAACTTAAACGAATTAATTATTTCGATTAATCGAATTAATAGATTTACGATTTAACACGTCGACTAATGACCCCACTGCTTCAAACACCGAATTCCAAAATAATCGTGGTCTCTATCTTTATCGAAATGTGGTCAGACTTGAGGTGGTAACCCTGCAACTGCGATACAAACTAAGTCATTTCGGGACTTACATATGGTTCAATTTTATTTCAATAATAAGCTTGCGCGTAGGGGTATTTAACAGTGGGGGGAAACATGTGGACCCGAAGAAAACCCACGAGGAGCAGGATCGCCTGTCCAACCTCGTGGGGTTTCTCCACGTCCACCTGGTTCCTCACACTGCTAAATACCTCAATGCGGAAGTGAATTATTGAAATAAAATTGAACCATGTGTTAATCCCGAAATGTCCTAGTTTGTGTCGCAGTTCCAGGGTTACCGCCCCAGGCTCGACTGCCTATCGTTAATAAGATCACGATTCTTTTTTTAACATATTTTTTTCTTCAAGTTCAGTGTTTTGAGAATTCGGTTCATTAGTCAACGGGGTAAATCGTAAATCAATTAATTCGATTAATCGAAATAATTAATTCGTTGTAACGAAATAATCATTTTGTTTAAACGAATTAATATTTCGTTTAAACGAAATAATTATATAAGAGTGGAATATAAGAGTGCACGAAAATAATATATAAGAGTGGAATCGTGCACTTAAGGGGCTCCCTAGACTTGGACCATTTTTGGACGGGTATTCCTATTAGGGATCCACTATATTACATGTTGCACTGGCAGCTGTCACAAGAATACGCCGAAAAAAGTATTTGACTTTCGCATATATATATGTTTAAACCATTTTCATGGAACTTTGAATATTATTTTGAACTGGCAATTTGTGATATTATTATATTAGTGAGGATTATACTGTATAATGGTATAAATTTGAAATGTATTTGGTTATACTTATATAACAGACAGTTCTGTAGTGGTAGCAAATTACAATGAGCGATTCCCTTGGATTATTGCCGTCATATTTAGATAATTTAGTACAAATACTATTGGCTAGTTACGTAATGAGAAACTGGGCCTTTTCGAAAACCAAAACCGAAACAAAAGGGGGTTACTGTTTTTGTGCCATACAAATTTTTCATGTTTGGTAAATCATGTTAAAATAATTATTTTGTGAAAACACACATTATTTGTAAAGAACGATGTAAAAACTGAATGTATTACGGGAAGCTACTTTACCGAGCGTTCGTCTAATGGTTTGGATGTAGCTATGGCGGATGTGGCGATAGGCAGGGTAAGCTTACACTTCCGGAAACCTGTTACCACTGTTCGTCGTGTATTTTGTACGTGAACAGTACATTTGCTGATTACACTATTTTGCCTATACCGTTTTTTCGGACTTCGAATTTTGTCTAATGGTTTGGATTGTTCGTACGTGGTTTTATTTAATTAATAAGACAATAATACCAATAACATATTATGGTACCGTGGAATTTCGAGGGTTTTCCATAATGTCGATAACAACTATTTACGCGTGTTTCTGACAGTTTACATATTTCGCACGTTTATTTTCTATGCTTTTAACAATCGTTAGAAAAGTGGACAATAAAGTACTTGCTTTCAGCGTCCTGTACATTAACAATTTAAGTTCGATGCAAAATAATCTTTACCGTCACATGACGACAGACAATTATGTATTGTGGTCATTTTGAGCTGTATAATATACGATATGGAATTAACCACGTGCGCAATACTTGGGGTGGGTGGTATTCACCGAATAGAAGCGTTTATTCTATAATCATATTCGAATGTCATGTGTGACGAGTTATTTTACGTGTCTATTTAATTCGTCAAGAGGTTATACATGGTGATAATTATAGGTCATCGTGAAAAGTATTTTATATTTAATGCCGCTGACAGGTATGATTAAAACAAAGATTGATCAAGTTCAGACTAAATGATAAAAAGCGTGAATATGTAGTTAACTGCATAGAAGACGAAGGTTTTTTTTTATTACACCAACACCTTATAGAATAATATACAGAAATTTGGAGGTGATTGCGTATATCAACTAGCATTTTCTGTTCGTGGGTATTGAAAATTGGGATAATTAAGGATCATTTCAATAACATTGTGTTCGTGAGTATTGAAAAAAAAGATAATTATGGATTATTCGGTAAAAATGGCTAGTATTTATAGTATCATTCCAGAACTTAAAGAGGAATATATAGAATATATTATAGACTGGGCTAAGTGTCGCATGATATATCACCTCATAATTTATTTTTATTTACGCTCATATGACCGCCTAAGTGTGAGGAAGTATTTTCTGGTCACAGAGTTGGTGGTCATTGGATGGATCTGGGAATCTAACAAAGACATTTTTAATCAATTTTTATGATAATGTAAGGAATAAGTATACTTCTCCAGCTTTAAAGTACATGTAATGTTAAAGGGACAATAACACTCTTGCTGGCTTGACAGCTCCAGAAAATAAAATAAAAATAGCATTATTCTAAGTACTAGATGTGTACATGTACACATATACGATATGGGATTTATTACTGTTACGTCCGCAATGCTTGTCGGTGTGGGAGTATTCATCGAACAGCAGCGTTCCTTGTGTACTCTTATTCGAATTCCAAGGGTGATCACGCTGGCTAAGTGGGTAAGACGCTGGCTCGCAAGCCTGGAGGTCGGGTGTTCAATCACTGCATGAGAAAGTTCATCCAGATTTTCCGGCGTGTTTCCCCCCTTGTCAGTGATGCAGGACGGAGGGCCTAACAAGTGTACATAATGGCGTGCACGTAAAAGATCCCTTGGCAGTTGGAATTCTTTTGCGTGCTCGTCGTTGAGTAGATGTTGACTAAATAACGGTTTGTTATTGTTAAACACGAGAAATAAATATATAAATATTATTCTCCACCCAAGTACAAAAATGTTAAATTCAGTTGCTATTAATTTTTCGATGTCATTATCTAACCTATAATTTTAAATTACCAATACTATTTTCATTTTCAGTTTTTGTTTCAGTTCCATAATTACAAACCGGTATCAATATTTTATGTGTAAATATTTTCCACGACAGAATACAAAAGTCAAGATTTATTTTACAGTTCAATAATTACAAATTAGTATCAATTTATATTTAGTACCCAAATGGTAATAATAGTTGAATGTCTTATGCATGAAAGTCAAATCTAAAAATTCACAAATATTTAAGAATTTCAATTCAATTTCCGGAATTTCACTAATGAATAGGCGAGACATGGAATTTCAAATATTATTTTGAACTGGCAATTTTCTATTTTATTTCATTGGTAAGGTATAAACTCTTCAATCGTATACAGTTACGTTGCACTTGGTTATGCATTTTTATCGCTTGTGAAACAACTTTTATATTCTACTCAGTGGTATCTACAGTAAAGATGTCGCTTTACATGAATTTGATTTATACCAAAGGAATTATGGTGCGTGTAAAAAGGGTTTGTGTGATAAATAAAATCTCCTACTCAGCTTTTTGAAATCAATACACGTTGATAAACTAACAATAACTCTGTCTATCCTCATTCTTTTTTACATTATCGATATTTTTTGATATCAAAATAGACTCGTAGGAGATTCTCTATATGCCAGACTGTTTGTGACAGAGAAAGAGAGAGAGAGGGGTGAGAGGGTAACGTCTCGTGGAAGGAAACGTGAGTTGAGGACTCTGAGAAAGCCCACGTGTTTGGGCCAGCGATAGACGTACTAAATGACAGACCTTCGTGTTTTTGGAAATAGATTCTAACAAGCTGTTTTTCTAATGAAGATGGAAAGAAAGCAACGAAAGTGTATAGAAAGTTCAAAGAAGAATACCATTGTAATGCTTGTGGTTGGGGGAGGGGGAACAGATATTAATACTATTATAATATTGTATATCACGCACAAAACAATAATATAGATAATATATAAATATATCATATTATATAGATAATAATAATAATATAAAAGTTTCTATATTAACTACTATAATATTTTATGTCATAGATACCCATGTGACCTGCGCTATGAGTAAAGGAATGGGTTTTAACGTCTCGTTTACGCAGTATGCTGGTCCTTTTTAGCCTTGTATGGCATTAACTATCATCACGTGGGTGGGTATGTTCACCGAATAGAAGCGTTTCTTCTATACTATTATTCAAATGTCATGTGTGACGAGTTATTTTACGTGTCTATTGACAAAATAAAAGATGGAAATACATAAATATTATTCTAATTGATTAATCATCATTCATCATTGATTTCACGATGTCATTATCTAACCTAAAATATTAAATTACTACTACTATTGCTCTTTAAATTATTGATTCACCTGCATTCTGTCATATTATCAGTTTAATAATTACAAATCAGTATCAATATTTTAGGTTTAAATATTTTCCACAACACACTAAATTTTAACATACAGGGTCTCGTACGTGTAGCTCCTGGTGTAATAAGGGTGATTTTTATATAAAATGTGATATTTTCAGATTTTTCAAGGAAATTCTTTATTGAATGTACGTAGAATATAAGCATCCATATTTTGTAGGAATCAAAGGAATGACGAATGTGGGCCTATTCAGATTGACAGTGTCCTGTATTGTACGAAACATTGTGGGTAAATTTAAAAAAAACTCTTTCTAAAGGGAGTATTTATTTCTTAATTGTTAATAAGATTTGTTTACATCGCATGTGTATAATTGAAATGATATCGTTAATGGTGGATATAAAACATAACTTACATCTTAAGACTCTCCCTGTAAAATAAACAAAACAATAATACAGATAATAATATACAAATGTTTCTATATATAGTAACTATTATAATACTAATGTGAACTCGTCTATGAGTAAAGGAATGGGGTTTAACGTCTCTTTAACACAGTGTTGTCTAAGAGAATGGGTATCGTCGAATAATTGTGATATAATACACGAGATAAAATATGATACTGCTCTATAGTAATATTTCGCATTTCGTGGATGTGACCAAGCAAAAACGCCCCATGCTCTTTCGATACTGTGGAACTTCGAGGGTTTTCCATAATGTCGATAACATCTATTTACGTGTGTTTCTGACAGATTACATATTTCGCACGTTTATTTTCTATGCTTTTAACAATCGTTAGTAAAGTGGACAATAGGGTACTTGCTTTCAGCGTCCTATACATTAACAATTTAACTTCGAGGGAAAATAATCTTTACCGTGACATGACGACAGACAATTCTGCCAGTATTTGTTCACCGAATAGAAGCGTTTCCTCTATACTCTTATTCGAATGTCATGTGTGAGGAGTTATTTTATGTGTCTATTGACAAAATAAAAGAAGGAAATACATAAATATTATTCTGTATTTGATTAATCATCATTCATCATAAATTTCACGATGTCATTATCTAACCGACAATATTAAATTACTACTACTATTGCTCTTTACAATTTTTGTTTTACCTGCATTCTGTCATATAATCAGTTTAATAATTACAAATCAGTATCAATATTTTAGGTGTAATTATTTTCCACAACACCGTAAAGTTTAACATACAGGGGTCTCGTACGTTTAGCTAGCTTCTGGTGTAATATGGGGGATTTTTATATAAAATGTGATATTTTCAGATTTTTCAAGGAAATTCTTTAATGAATGAACGTAGAATATAAGCATCCATATTTTGTAGGAATCAAAGGAATGATGAATGTGGGCCTATTCAGACTGACAGTGTCCAGTAATGTAAGAAACATTGTGGGTAAATTTCAAATAAACTCTTTCTAAAGGGAGTATTTATTTCTTAATTGTTAAAAAGATTTGTTTACATCGCATGTGTATAATTGAAATGATATCATTAATGGTGGATATAAAAATAACTTAAACGAATTAATTATTTCGATTAATCGAATTAATAGATTTGCGATTTAACACGTCGACTAATGACCCCATTGCTCCAAAAATCGAATTTGAAAATAAAATATGCGCGTAGGGGGGAAACATGTGGATCCGAAGAAAACCTACGAGGAGCGGGATCGCCTGTCCAACCTCGTAGGGTTTCTCCGGGTCCACCTGGTTCCTCACACTGCTAAAAACCTCTACGCGGAAGCGAATTATTGAAATAAAATTGAGCCATGTGTTAATCCCGAAATGACCTAGTTTCGTGCACGAAAAAAATAGATAAGAGTGGAAGCGTGCACTTAAAGGGCTCCCTAGACTTGGCCCATTTTGGACGGGTATTCCTATTAGGACTATATTACATGTTGCACTGGCAGCTGTCACAAGAATACGCCGATTTGACTTTGGCATATATATGTTTAAACCATTTTCATGTAACTTTGAATATTATTTTGAACTGGCAATTTGTGATATTATTATATTAGTGAGGATTATACTGTATAATGGTATAAATTTGAAATGCATTTGGTTATACTTATATGACAGACAGTTCTGGGGTGGAAGTAAATTACAATGAGCGATTATCTTGGATTATTGCCGTTATATTTAGAGAATTTAGTACAGATACTGTTGGCTAGTTATGTAATGAGAAACTGGGCCTTTACGAGAACCAAAACCTAAACAAAAGGGGGTTACTGTTTTTGTGCCAGACAAATATTTCAAGTTTGGTTAACCATGTTAAAGTAATTATTTTGTAAAAACACGCAACATTATTTGTAAAGAACGATGTAAAAACTGAGTGTATTATTATGTGACGTTATTTTACCGAGAGTTCGTCTAATGGTTTGGATGCAGCTATGGCGGGTGTGGAGATAGGCAGGGTAAGCTTACTCTTCCGGACACCTATTACCACTGTTCCTCGTGTATTTTGTACACTGTGAACAGTCCAATTGCTGATTAACCAATTTTGCCTATACCGTTTTTTTAGGACTTTGAATTTTGTCTAATGGTTTGGATTGTTCCTACTTGGTTTTATTTTATTAATAAGACAATAATACCAATAACATATTATGGTATTTAATTTGTCAAGAGATCATACATGATGTATAGGTCATCATGAAAAGTATTTTATATTTAATGCCACTGACAGGTATGGTGAAAACAAAGATCAAGTTCAGACTAAATGGTAAAAAGCGTGAATATGTAGTTAACTGGATAGAAGACGCAGGTTTGTTTTTATCACACCAACACCTTATATAGAATAATATACAGAAATTTGGAGGTGTTTGCACACATCAGCTAGCATATTGTGTTCGTGGGTATTGACAATTGGGTTAATTAAGAATTATTTCAATTAAAAAGTGTTCGTGAGTATTGGAAATAAAGATAATTATGGATTATTTCGGTAAAAATGGCTTGTATTTAGCATCATTCCAGAACTTAAAGAGGAATATACAGACTATATTATAGACTGGGCTACGGTAACATCCTAAGTGTAGCATGATATATCACCTCATAATTTATTTTTATTTACGCTCATATGACCGCCTAAGTGTGAAGTAGCATTTTCTAGTTACAGAGTGGGTGGTCATTGGGTGGATCTGGGAATCTAACAAAGACATTCAATTTTTATGATAATGTTAGGAGTAAGTATACTGGATCTGGGAATCTAACAAAGACATTCAATTTTTATGATAATGTTAGGAGTAAGTATACTTCTCCAGCTTTAAAGTATTGTCAAGCCGTTTGTTTTGATCAGCTAGACAATGTTTCATTTGGCCAAGAAACTTTGTTCAACCGCCTACTAACCGTAACATGAAATAGTCATGTATACTTTTGAATGTGCTTTCATGTGTACAATTTAGAATGCATTGTTTTCATATTCAAATATCCCTTTAACATCAATTGTCTACTCATATCACATCATGCTTACGCCACTGATCGAACTTTAAAAAAGATTGCATGTACCTTGTCTGCTGTTCTGGCGACATTTTTTCCCAAGGAATTGGTCTCTTTTCTTTTTCGTTATTAGTAGGTTTTTCCGTTTTCTGGGCGCCATGTTGATGTTTAATACACCTGACTTCCTCTTTCAATGACTGAACCTCTCCATTAAGTTGATTATTGGATTGTGTCAGAGAATTTATGGTTTGTTGTTGGGAATTGTATTTTGCAAACAAATCATCAACTCGTTTTGAATCATCAACTGTTTCCGAGGATTGGTTATTCACATCACGCTTTAAAATTAGAAAATTATAAATAAATGCTTTCGGTAAAATGGTATACAGTTTTCTGTCATTTTCAGTAAATGGTAATTTAACACTAATAATGTGAAACTTATGATTTTCGTCTATTTCTTATGGACGACTTACATTAAAACGAATTTCTCTTTCTCATATTCATTTAAGTTTAACGCATGTTGTAATTGCACTGCTGTCAAACACCTAAATATATTAACCGATTGAATTATCTTATCAACATATATACAAACTGCTACATGTCGCCGAAAGATCAAGAAATATCAGGTAACATGTAAAATACATTAAAGTAATATATCGATTTCCAGTCTAAAGTCGACGATAAGAACTATGGATAAATTTATTATCATTTTAACTGAGATCTACACTTACACTTTATGGGGAACATATTAAAGGGAATTCTATAGATATCCATCGGACAATGGGTTTTAATCCAGAATATATTGTTAACCCAACAATATCTAAGACTGTTTTGGAAACTATGTCAGAAAATATTACAGCAGATTGCCACTATATAACAATATTATTGGGTTTGTTTCATTAATTGCTGGGAGATGGGGTGGTCGGGTGGTCTAACGCATACGCTTTGGATCATCAGGTCTGTCGCTGAGTCCATGTTGCGTGTTTTCGACCCAAAGCATATATATCGCAAGAAATAAGGTCGTCCGCACAACCTCGTTGATCTTCCCGCGTCCCACTGCTAGTCTCATGCATGCAAACGAATAATTGAAACAAAATAATACCATATGTTATTGACGAAACGCCTTAGTCGCACGTCTCCGCCCCTCCCTTCGCCCCCTTTCTCTCTCTCTCTCTCTCACTTGTAAAATGTTGTATTTTTGGAATAGATAGCCATCGCGTTAGAAAGTATAGAAACTTACTTCCAATCGTCCAACTACATGGTGATATCCGTTGATTGACAGACTTTCCATGAAGCCCGTATATGCATTGTTACCGGATCTGCATAATATATCAATTAACTTGTCGGTGCCAGCTTTTGTGCCTTGTTGATGTGCTTGTAATCGAATGGCTTCTTTGTCGTCCCATGTAATCACACTTGATTCAAGGAGTTTTGGGACCAGTACCATGGCATCGATTTCGTCTAGCAAGAAAGAGTAATTTCTCTGCAATCTACTCATGTCTGATTGGAGCATTCTTCTTCGGTTCATGATGGTTATTTTGAGATATCTATGTAATGGATGAAGAAATCTGGTTCATCTAAACATCTAAGCTACAATCTGAAAACAATAATAAAATTAACAACACTATTTTAGAATTGAGATTAGGGGTTTCAAACATTGCATTCATTTAATGTATATGTGAGAGAGAAGTAAATGAAATGAAGTTTAACGTCCTACTGTTCTGCTCCGACTGGCCTAATGAAGACGGTGAGACAGAAAGAATTGTTCGGTAGCCTAAATCCATTTAATATTGCTCAATTGTTCTGTTTTTGTTTTGTTTTTAGTGCATGTTTCTGATTAACGCCTAAGACCCGTGTCTCCACGTCTAATTTTGAGCGACCTGAAAGATCATGGACTAGACATCACAAGTCATGTCAAACGATGACGCCGTATTCTTATCTGGAGAGCATGCGCTATAAATAATATCGGTGTAGACTGGGTTAACCAGACGCTAGAGATTGCCATTCGTTTGAGACTTCTGATTTGAAATTGGAGTAAAAACGGAAACGATTGAAAGTAAATCAGTTTATAAACATTCATATTTCATTTGTGTCAATTTCTAGGTCCCAAATATTAGCGATTTAGCTCCTTTAAAATCAGTCGCGATCCCATGGCAATTGGGCGACCTTGATTTGGCAACACCCCGAATCTAGGACTAACTGTTCATCCGACATGGAGTTTTTTCACAATTATCTCTCCATGGTCTATAATTACAATGTTGTTCAAAATGTGTAAATAATACCGTACAGATAGTCAGTAACGTGTTTCAGTTTCCGTTTCAGATTGATCAGTATTAATCTATTGTCTAATATATAGGCATACACTAACAATCACTGTGATAACTAGTAGATAACTATAATATACCCTCTATATACTCACCGTTCTAATTAGCTGAAACAGTTTAATTTCTAATTACAACATAAAAACAAACAATCTTCTACCAAAGTATTACCTTCCGCCTGTACGTTTAGGGAAACCCCCTGTATCACGTGACATTATATACGTCAGCGAAGAGCAAAACTAATTCATTCGGTGCAGCATTGTAGTTTAAATAATCACAGGTGTTATTGTGGTTTAAATAATCACAGGTGTTATTGAATTAAGTATGACGTTAAACCCCATTTTGTTTCATTTCATTCAGACTATATTAAAATAGCTTATCAATATATATGTTATTTTTATTTCAGATTATTCATATTTGCAAGTTTCCCCAAGCGATGTCTGAAGTAAATGTAATGAATTTACCTGTGGTGTACCGAGTATTAAGCAATAGTGGGAAACCCCGTTTCTATTAAAATATACATGACATAATCATTGCATCGTTACAGTTTATTGTAGTTGTCTCCCTTCAACCGTAATGACTAGCGATATTCAACACAGTCACCTGTCATATAGTCCCCATTACAAAATACACAATCAATAGTCACCAGTTACCCGTTCAACATTCCTCGGTTTGACTTTCATGCATTTGAGAGCATGGATTCTTGCTTCAAAGTGTAGATGTCATATTGTTGAACAAAATGATCGATTTACTATTGACATTGAGAAACACGATTCTAATGAAATAAATTGGTTCAGTGTAGGGGAATTAAACACAGTGTGGTGTGTGTGTTTGGGGGGGGGGGGACCCACAAGGTTGGACAAGAGACGCTACTCCTTGTCACGTTCAAGCTCGGAATCGAAACCATGCCAACTGCCTCTATAACAGACCTTACGATCTAAAGCGCACACTTTAGACCATTCGACCACCCAACTCAGTGAAATGTGTTGTAAAAATGAAACATTACTTTCCAGCACTATTCCAGTTAGATGTGCATACATGAATGTGCTACGACTAGGTTTTTTTTTCATGCAGCGGAATTTGCGTCTACCCTTTATTGAATTCCATCTGTCAAGGAATATTTTACCTGCACGTTGGGGAGCCGCCGTGACTCTCAGTGTAGGCCGAGAAAGAGAGAGAGAGAAATGAGGTTTAACGTCCACTCGACACAAACTAGGTCATTTCGGGACTAACATATGAATTATTTTTATTTACATAATCGCTTGCGCGTAGGGGTCTTTAGCAGTGGGAGGAAACCGGAGGACCCGGAGAAAACCCACGAGGTTGGACAGGCGACCCTACTCCTTGCCACGTACAACCGGGGATTCGAAACCATGCCAGTCGACTCAATGACAGACTTTATGATACAGCGCGCGCACGCTAACCATTCAGCCACCACCCCCCCCCCCCCCCGTAGGCCGAGAAAGTTCCTCAGGACGAAAACCCGAGGTCCAATGTATACATTAGTGCGCAATTAAAAGAACTCTTAACAAATTGCTCATATGTTGTTTTCTAATAGCTAGGACCAATTTAACTATCTTTCCTATATGTTTGTTATTTTCACACCTATTTCCCCATTAAGATACAGGCTAGTATACTGTGCTGTGTTATACGGTGTAGATATCTGAGTTTCTGTTTCAGATCGATCTATAATAATCTATTGTCTAATATATAGGCCTACACTAACAATCACTGTGATAACTAGTAGATAACTATAATATACCCTCTATATACTCACCGTTCTAATTAGCTGAAACAGTTTAATTTCTAATTAAAACATAAAAACAATCATCTACGAACGAAATACCTTCCGCCTTTACGTGTTAGGGAAAGCCCCCTGTATCATGTGACACTATATACGTCAGCCAAGAGCAAACATAATTCAATCCCGTCACTCCACCCTGGCAACTAAGCGATCCAGTCATCAATACGAACCTGATTAACGTTACAAACAAACATGCTAATCCCATTGAGGCTAGAACACTAGCATTAGAACTAATAGACACCAAATGGGCAGACTATCTCAAAATCTATACAGATGGATCGAAAAATAATACACAGGGACTGACAGGGTATGGCATTTTCATACCCAAAGCAAAGCTAAACATCAGGAAAAGGATACCAGAACATTGTTACTGTGTACACCGCAGAATTGATGGCCATTAAAACTGCAATAGAATGGCTAGCCACCCAAACACACCAAAAATCTGTTATCCTATCAGACTCCCTAAGTAGCATCAAATCCATCGAATCAGATTACTCTAAAAGCAGACAGGGCATAATCCACCAAATTAGGGATATTAATCAAACAATCAAGAATAACGGAATAGAGGTAGTCCTTGCATGGATCCCCTCCCACATCAATATCTTTGGCAATGAACAAGCTGACAAGCTAGCCAAGGAAGGGTTGTCGTTAAATGATATAGAAAATTTAGAATACAGCAGTCAGGAATTCACAAGCATAGCTAAAGATAAAATTAAAAATGCATGGAAAACCCGTCTAAAACAAGAGAATACTCATCGCTATCAAATTGATAGCACTCTTGTAGACAAGGTTTACATCAATCATCCCTCAATCAAAATATGCAAGCTCATCACGAGGCTAAAAACGATAAACGTAATAAAAGACCTTTACACCAATTAAATGCCCATGTGGACAAATTGCAACCACGTCACACCTGCTAATCAACTGTAATCAATTAAACAAAGAACGTCAATCCGTAATTAGGAATCTCTGTCTCAAATCTCTCCTCTCTCCACAACCTGACGATAGATACTGGACATCACAACTTGTCTGGGATTTTATAGATAATATAGGGATGTCCAAATACATAAAATAATCAATTAAATAGTAGGGCGGAACGTAAAAACGTCCTTTAGAAGGAAGCGTAAACCGCCCTACACTACTAATAAATATAGGCATGACCAAATACATATATTAATAAAATTAATCAATTAAACAGTAGGGCGGAATGTAAAAATGTCCTCTAGAAGGAAGCGTAAACCGCCCTACACTACTAATAAATATAGGCATGACCAAATACATAAAATAATAAAATTAATCAATTAAACAGTAGGGCGGAACGTAAAAATGTCCTCTAGAAGGAAGCGTAAACCGCCCTACACTACTAATAAAACTCCGATATAATTAATAAAACAATTAATAAAATTATTCAATTAACAGTAGGGCGGAACGTAAAAATGTCCTCTAGAAGGAAGCGTAAACCGCCCTACACCACTAATAAACCTCTGATAAAATTAATAAATCAATTAACAAAATTAATCAGTTAACAGTAGGGCGGAACGTAAAAATGTCCTCTAGAAGGAAGCGTAAACCGCCCTACACTACTAATAAAACTTCGATAAAATTAATAAATCAAATTATACAATAAATTTACCATCAATATAATTCATGAGTAATTTATTTTTCTCATTATTTATTTGCAATTCACTTAACAATTTATTTTCTTTTATTCCACTTATTATTCTTATTATTAGTTTATAATGACCCCATCCCCACCCCCACCCCCGAAGCCTTACTAGACGAAATAAACACAAAACAATCGTAAGACCAAATATTCATTTCTCTCTAGCCTTCTCTTTTCAGGTGCTGGATTCTTCCTACAGAGAACCAACAACAAAGGAATGAACAACAGAATCAATGACAAAATCAACCACCATACCGGACAATATAACCAAATGGAAGGAAGAATGGTACAGGCCTTACACTCACCAATAAGCCCCAAGGAAGAGTGGCACCGCCTTGCTATTCAACCGGACAGAATGACCAGACCAATACAAACGACCAAATTACTAATCTATATATATGTACATAATATATGTTTAAGTGTCAGTCCACTCTGTCTGATCTGTCATAATGTCTTTGTTTACATGTCTGTCCCAATGTTCGACCACATTTATGTCTGTTTTGTCACGAACACGTCTGTTTTGTAAAAGTCCACTTTCACCTACTAATTCATATCTCTTGCTGTTACCTATTGTCTTTTGTACATATATACAAAAACCTCATCATCCTATTTTCCACTAAACACATTGTAAATTATTGCACCTTGTACAAATAACATGTTATTGTCTGCGATATCACCTCCGTGGAAGCGGACGTAAAATACAACTAGCAAACAACTAACTTAATTCATTCGATGTGCATTGTACTTTAAATACTTATAGATAGGTGTCATTGAGTATTTGTTACTTATGATGTTAAACTTTATTTAATCGAATTTTGGATATCAATGAAAACATTTTGTTAACCAATAGATCGTCAGGAGGTATGTTACTTGTATTTCGGATTATTAATATTTTCAATTTTCCCCGAGCGAAGTTCTCATTAAATGGCACTGAATTTACCTGCGTGCGGTGTACCGAGTGTTGGGCAATATTGGAAAAGCCCGTTTTAATTACAATAAACATGACACAATTATTGAATTGGTTCCGTTTATTGTAGTTGTCTCCCTTCAACCGCAATGACTTGCGGTATTTAACAAATCGCCACCGGTAATATACTGCCTAGTACAACATGCAAAATCAATAGTCACCAGGTACCCCTTCAACATTTATCCGTTTGGCTTTCATGTATTTGAGAGCTTCGATTCGTGCATCAAAGTGGCGATGTAACAGTAATGATAGAGAGAGAGAGAGAGAGAGAATGAGATTTAACTTCCACTCTGTTAAAACTAGACCATTTTGGAACTAACGTATGACTCAATAATTATATATTAATAGTTTGCTTGCACGTAGGGGACTTTATTGGAGGGGGGGGGGGCAGAATACCCATGAAGTTTGACAGGGGATTCTACACCTGTACTTAGAAGTAGGGAGTCGAAACCACGCCACTTGACTCTATGATAGACCTTATGATCTAAAGCGCATGCGTTTGACCACTCGGCCTCTTATCCTGTGAAATGGGTTGTAACGTCCTACTTTCCTGCTCTATCCGTCCGACCTTGAACAACATTGAATATGGGATGACCCCGTTGCGGATTGATTAGATCACAATATTAACTTCTGCAAGTTACACTTTAGAAACTTTTTTGAAGTATTAAAGAAATAAATAAGGTGTTTGAAGTATATCTGAATAAACATAATTCCTATTTAGTGTAAATGGATATATAAAATGAGTAAAAGGCATCGTTCTGCCCGGACCAGTTTACGTTATCACGTCTTATCATACAACTAAATATTATTTATCATAAGAGATTACTAGGATGGTCAGTAGTATATTATTTACCTTAGGAGATTACTAGGATGGTCAGTAGTATGTTATTTTAGGAGATTCATGGAGCAGTCAGTGTTATATTCAACTAAATTAATACTGTTTAGACGGATATTTACCTCCCTTTAACCCCCGTTAAAGTCTACGGTCGTCATTTGCTTATTCATTTGACAATATATAAAAACCACTGAATTTGTAAAAAAAATATTAAAACATTCAGCAGAAATTAGAATAATATTGTCTCGAACAAACTAAGTTGCCTGTTGAAGATGAAAATCATTTTATTGTATTTTGTCCTATGTATTTAATTTAAAGTCACAACTCATGCCATGAATCTGAGATATATTATGTTTTTGATTAACACCTAAGACCCGTGTCTCCACATCTAATTTTGAGCGACCTAAAAGATCATGGACTAGACATATTCACCAGTCATGTCAAACCATGACGCCATATTCTTATCTGGAGAGCATGCGCTATAAATACAACTGGTGTAGACTGGGTTAACCAGATGCTAGAGATTGCCATTCGCTTGAGACTTCTGATTTGAAATTGGAGTAAAAATGGAAACATTCATATTTCATTTGTGTCAATTTCTAGGTCCCAAATATTGGCGATTTAGCCCCTTTAAAATCAGTCGCGATCCCATGGCAATTGGGCGACCTTGATTTGGCAACACCCCGGATCAAGGACTAACTGTTCATCGACTTGGACTTTTTTCACAATTATCCCTCCATGGTCTATAATTACAATGGGGATGCTCGATTGAACGTTCCAGAATTGAATTCTCTCAATCCCAAAAATAGTATCAATCGAGTGAAAAGGAGAATTTCGTAGTACAACGCATGTGCCGACTGCATAAAAAATATCTCAACCAATCATGGCAGCTGAAACATATTTGCTATCTAAAATACGTCACGATTCTACTCACACCACCTCAGCTGTTGGGACTGACAGAACTGTGACAGGACTGAATTCCGCGTCACTCGATTGCAATTCTGTCAATTCGGGACGTTCCGGACTGTGAATCGAGCATCCCCATCGTTGTTCAAAATGTGTAAATAATACCGTACAGAAAGTCAGTAACTTAACGCGTTTCAGTTTCTGTTTCAGATTGATCTGTAATAATCTATTGTCTAATATAGACCTACACTAACAATCACTGTGATAACTAGTAGATAACTATAATATTCTCTCCATATACTCACCGTGTTAATTAGTTGAAACTGTTTAATTCCTAATTAAAACATAAAAACAATCATCTACGAACGTATTAATTTCCGCCTCTCCGTTTAGGGAAACCCCCTGTATCACGTGACATCATATATGTCAGCGAAGAGCCAAAAAAAAAAAAAAAAAAAAAATCATTCGGCGCAGCATTTTGGTTTAAATAATTATAGATGTCATTAAAGTATGACGTTAGACCCCATTTCGTTTCATTTCATTCCGAATCTATTGAAATATTTTGTTAACCGAAATATATCACGAGCTTATCAATATATATGCTATTTTTATTTCAGATTATCCATATTTGCAATTTTCCCCAAACGATGTCTGAAATAAATGCAATGAATTTAGCTTCGGTGTACCGAGTGTTAAGCAATATTGGGAAAACCCGTTTCTATTAGAATATACATGACATAATCATTGAATTGTTACAGTTTATTGTAGTTGTCTCCCTTCAACCGTTGTGACTAGTGATATTAAATTGAGAGAGAGAGAGATGGGGTTTAACGTCCACTGGACACAACCTAGGTCATTTCGGGACTAACCTATGGTTTAATTTTATTTCAATAATTCGCTTGTGCGTAGGGGTCTTTAGCAGTGGGAGGAAACTGTAGAACTCGGAGAAAACCCACGATGCTGGACAGGCGACCCTACTCCTTGTCACGTACAACCGGGGATTCGAAACCACGTCAGTTGACTCAATGAGAAACCTTATGATACAGCACGCACGTGCTAACCATTCGCCCCCCACCCCCCGCGGTGATATCCAACAATTTGCCGCCGGTTATATACTGCCTAGTACAACATGCACAATCAATGGTCACCCAGTTATCCGTTCAACATTTCCTCGGTTTGAATTTCATGTATTTGAGAGAATGGATTCTTGCTTCAAAGTGTAGATGTGGGTGTCATATTCTTGAACAAAATGATCGTTTCACTATTGACATTGAGAAATTGTATGTGGTGTGTGTGTGTGTGTTGTGTGTTGTGGGGGGGGGGGGGGGTGCAAGCTCGGAATCGAAACCATGCCAACTGCCTCTATAACAGACCTTACGATCTAAAGCGCACACTTTAGACCATTCGACCACCCAACTCAGTGAAATGTGTTGTAAAAATGAAACATTACTTTCCAGCACTATTTCAGTTTGATGTGCATACATGAATGTGCTACGACTGTTTGTTTTTGTTTTTTTCCATGCAGCGGAATTTGCGTTTACCCTTTATTGAATTCCAACTGTCAAGGAATATTTTACCTGCACGTTGAGGAGCCGTCAAGACTCTCAGTGTAGGCCGAGAAAGTTCCTCAGGACGAAATCCCCAGGTCCTATGTACACATTGGTGCGCACTTAAAAGAACCCTTAACAAATTGCTCATATGTTGTTTTCTAATAGCTAGGACCAATTTAACTATCTTTCCTATATGTTTGTTATTTTTACACCTATTTCCCCATTAAGATACAGACTACACTGTGCTGTGTTATACGGTGTAGATATCTGAGTTTCTGTTTCAGATTGATCAGTATTAATCTATTGTCTAATATATAGGCCTACACTAACAATCACTGTGATAACTAGTAGATAACTATAATATACTCTCTATTTACTCACCGTTCTAATTAAATGAAACAGTTTAATTCCTTATTAAAACATAAAAACAAACAATCTTCTACCAAAGTATTATCTTCCGCCTTGACGTGTTAGGGAAAGCCCCCTGTATCATGTGACACTATATACGTCAGCGAAGAGCAAAATTAATTCATTCGATGCGCATTGTACTTTATATACTTATAGATAGGTGTCATTGAGTATTTGTTACTTATTATGTTAAACTTTATTTAATTGAATTTTGGATATCAATGAAAATATTTTGTTAACCGATAGATCGTCAGTATGTATGTTATTTGTATTTCGGATTTTCAATATTTTCAATTTTCCGAGAGCGAAGTTCTCAGTAAATGGCATTGAATATATTGGAAAAGCCCGTTTTAATTACAATAAACATGACACAATTATTGAATTGGTTCCGTTTATTGTAGTTGTCTCCCTTCAACCGCAATGACTTGCGGTATTTAACCAATCGCCACCGGTAATATACAGGGGGGTTGGGATGGCCTAGTGGTCTAGAGTGTCACGCTTCGACCTCTAGCTGGCCGGTCACCTCTGGCTTGCGGCTGTGGTTTCGATCCCTGGTGGGAGCGTATGTGGCATGGAGATAGGGGCGCCTTCTCAACCTCGTGGGTTTACTCCGGGTACTCCGGTTTCCTCCCACACGAAAGTAGTACAACGCATGTGCCGACTGCATAAAAAATATCTCAACCAATCATGGCAGCTGAAACATATTTGCTATCTAAAATACGTCACGATTCTACTCACACCACCTCAGCTGTTGGGACTGACAGAACTGTGACAGGACTGAATTCTGCGTCACTCGATTGCAATTCTGTCAATTCGGGACGTTCCGGACTGTGAATCGAGCATCCCCATCGTTGTTCAAAATGTGTAAATAATACCGTACAGATAGTCAGTAACTTAACGCGTTTCAGTTTCTGTTTCAGATTGATCTGTAATAATCTATTGTCTAATATATAGACCTACACTAACAATCACTGTGATAACTAGTAGATAACTATAATATTCTCTCCATATACTCACCGTGTTAATTAGTTGAAACTGTTTAATTCCTAATTAAAACATAAAAACAATCATCTACGAACGTATTAATTTCCGCCTCTCCGTTTAGGGAAACCCCCTGTATCACGTGACATCATATACGTCAGCGAAGAGCAAAAAAAAAAAAAAAAAAATCATTCGGCGCAGCATTTTGGTTTAAATAATTTTAGATGTCATTAAAGTATGACGTTAGACCCCATTTCGTTTCATTTCATTCCGAATCTATTGAAATATTTTGTTAACCGAAATATATCACGAGCTTATCAATATATATGCTTTTTTTATTTCAGATTATCCATATTTGCAATTTTCCCCAAACGATGTCTGAAATAAATGCAATGAATTTACCTTCGGTGTACCGAGTGTTAAGCAATATTGGGAAAACCCGTTTCTATTAGAATATAAATGCGCATGCGCGAGCTGTGCGGTCGAACAAATATGTATGTGTGAAAAAAATTGATAATAACCTATAAATGTTAAGTATGTGGATAATATTATGAAGTTCCCTTGGACTAGTTTTCATCATTAATGCTGTAAAATACTGTGAAATATTTCTACTTTATCGATTTTTCTACACTTCTGAATTGGCGGGCCGGTCAATGTAAATAAAGAAAATGGCGACTGCACTCGCACGTCTTGAGGTAAGCCCAAATATACCTACTTGCAACAAGTTTGAATTAACAGAGAAGCACAAAAACACAGGCAAATCAAATAAACCTACTACCCGAAGTTCGAAATACACCATTAATATCGACAGATGTCTGAAAAAGAAACTTAATTCAACGTATAGAGATGACTTTGTAATAAAACACACGAACGGAGGGCTCCGACTGTACTGGAGTGCTGGTCACTATGAAGAGTTTCGGCGTGTAGCTCAAATCTTTTACAAAAACTTGAAAAAAGAAGGACAGCTTGAGATCGATATGACTGATCTCACAGACAGAACCAAAAATGTAACTGAATCCACAATACTAAAAGTATATTCAGTTCGAAGAAAAAGCAGTTTCCGCTACACGATTAACATGTTTCACACAACATCCTCAGCTCTCGTCAATGGTAACCATGAGAATATTTTCCTCAATACTCATTTACCAGAAATCCTAGAGATGGTGAACAATTTGAATAAAGCCATCCAACATAAGATACATGTACCTGCTTGTACTAATACTACTATAGTGTGAAGAAATCACAGAATCAACCACCGACTGAAGCATCAACCCAGTCTGTCCTAAAAGTAAACACTCCCTCTACCGACACACACTTGTGTCTCACAGAAGAAGAGCAAACTGATAATCCCTGTGCTACATCCGAGAAGCAACCAACCATGTCTACGGTAAGCACACCCTCGGACGTTTTACCTGAGGAAAACCATGTTGACAATAATAGCCCTGTCGAAAATATAATGATATGCAGTCCCACCAGTATAAATGTTGTGTGTCCTTCAACTTCAAACACACCATGTCCTGATCCACCTCTGCATGTACATAGCCCAAGAGAAACACTACCAGGAAGTGAAAACATTACACCTGTAATTCCACCGAGACCTGTCCCTAAAGTTAGACGACTAAAGCTCACTCCCTCAGTAAGTTCTGCATGTAGTAGTACGTATGCCGCTAAAACCATCTCATCTAAAATTAAAACAAAAACTAAATATTCCAATGGGGCTAGTAGCAAATCCAACAGTGCCACACAGCTAACTAACTTACAGATGACGGTCACAAATCTTGAATCCGACATCCTGAAATTAAATGCCGAACTTAAAGAAAAGAACGGCATAATAACAGACATGGATGCAGAAAACTCAGAGTTGAAGAACAGACTTGCAAAACTGTTGGAAGAGAATAAGACCTTTGTTGCCGCTTTTAATTCACTAACTGTAGATAACAATAAACTGATACAGGAAAATCAGATATACAAGTCGACCAACGACACCGTTGCCACACCAGATACTAAAGACCAATCACAACAAACAGACAAGTCATTAAATGTAGAAGTAATAGAGCCTTGTACAAACTTTATTATAGGGTCCTCTGTACTAAAGAAAATAAATTCTCGCAGGCTGGATAGAAATGGCAACACTGCAGTCAGAGCCATATCAGGTGGTAAAATAAGAGACGCAATTAATCTGCTTGAAAGGTGCTCCATATCCAAAGAAGTAGAAAAGATAGTGTATTTAATAGGCTCCAATAATGTTTCTCACAATATGAACTTAGATAGTTGCAAAAATGATTACAGGCAGCTAATTGAAACAAGTCAAACAAAATACCCAAATGCAGACATCAACTTCTTGAAATTACTGCCTAGAAGATCCACCACATTCAACCAACAGCTTGAATCCCTAAACACAGTCCTTAAACAGACATGCAGTGAACAAAATTGTACCTATATCTCAGACCATGTTAGTTGCTTTACTAAAGATAATTCAATCAAAGAATATCTGTATGCTGATGGGACACATCCCAACTACAAAGGCTCAGCTAAACTAGCAAGTCATCTAAAAGCTACCCTTAACCTTGAAGTAAGAAAGTTTGGACAGGCTAATATGAAATCTCCGCACCCTGCATTCAATGACAGGGGTATGGTCCCTCCCCCGAGGATCACACAACTACCATTTTGGCTGCTCCCACCCATGGCAGATATGCGGTTTCCGCCACCTAGTCATCTACCAACTTTTCCTTTTGACAACACATATCGAGCACCAGTCAAGAATCCAGCTGCTTTCACTTATGGCAAAACATATAATTCTACAGTCCAAAATTCAGCTGCCTTCCCCTATGGCAACAAGTATCAACCAAAAATCAAGACTACCGCTTGGGGTAAAGCATATTTACGTGGGTAGTAATACCTGTGATAGTTATAAACATATTTACGTGTGTAGTGTATTCAGTGTATAATACATGTACCTGTGTGATACATGTAGTATAAACACTTTCTAAAAATTCGACTTAAAAAATCTAAAAGGCATATTGTGAGTGCTGCTATAAAATAAGTGCTGTGAATGTGGTTCCAGAATCCAGATCGACTTTGACAGTTTTGTTGGTTGGTTTGTTGTGTGTGTGTGTGTGTGTGTGTGTTTTTTTTTTTTTTTTTTTTTTTTAAAAATCCACAAACTCCCAAGTTTGTGTGCTGCCTGTTGAGAAGTGATACATGATATACCATATAGAATAAACATGTAGGAAGGATACCTACAGTATAACAATCTACATGTAGCTATAGCTGTCAAGGTGTGGTGTATCATAATGTACAATATAACTGCCGTCCATTTATCCATTAGTCAATTGCCAATATAGTGCTTATTTTTATTAATTAAATGAATGTAAAATGTTTGCACTACTCATTGTAAATATGATCAGGTACCCACTCTAAGCACAGGCAAAGGAATGCACAAAGGTTAATCGAGGTACCTACAATGTATCTGTGTTAAAGACATGTGCCCGTATCAATAATATAATGTATATATTCTACATGTACGCCAAGTACTTATATTTCACTTTATTTTTCCACACTTTGTATTTATAGGTTTGCCTTTTTGTAAAATTATCCATATTTGTGTAATCTATAACCATCAGGTATCCTGTTAGTAATTATATGTTCATTGTGATTGCTTGCTTGTTTCATTATCACACTCATTGTTTATAGATTACAACACTGTTATTATTATATTGCCATATTTCACTCATTATGTCCTTACAGATAGGTTTCTGGAATGTCAATGGCCTCATATCTAAACTCAATAATGACAAAGCTCGGAATGATATGTTTCAGTATTTTTGTCATTTGGATATTATCTGTTTAATTGAAACCTGGTCTAATGATGAGCATGAAAACTTAGATTTACTACAAAATGTATTTAGTGGTTACACAGGATTTATATTCAGTAGAAAGGGAAATAACTCTCCAAAATTCAGCCAGAGAGGCGGTACAGCAATATTTATACGAGATCAATATAAACATGGTATCCAAATTCTTGACTCCTCGGATGGGGACATAATATGGTTCAAATTAAACAAATCTGTTTTCAATATCAGTAATGATCTTTATACTGCTTCTGTTTATATTCCGCCCCAAAATT